GCCCTCGTGTAGCTTTGCGCGAAATTCAAAACAAACAAACAAACCTTCCTTGTTCACCAAGATAATAATAATAATACAAGAATGTAGAAAATAGTTCAAGAAGGTTACGGTTAAATTACCAACGTGGAATCTACTTAAAATACATCGATCATTTCTTCTGACCTACTTAAAATACATCGGTCATTTCTTCTGACCTATGTACTTAAGCCACGTTTTCAACGACCCCATAATCCAGTACTTGAAGTTTACCTATGTAACGAATTCTGACCCTTAAAACACTTAAAACTGCAATACATCATTTCAAAACATATCCCACAAGGCCTCAAATGAATAATACCTTTCTCAGCCGTGAATGGTGTTTCACTTGCTCATCACGATCACAATGGGGTGAAAAATCTTTGGCTTAGACATCTTGGTGATGTCGTTCGAAAATTAATATGTAATGATTCGTTTTGTTATAAAATTCAGTTACAAACTCAAAGTATCGAAATATTTTTTTTTCTTATTTAATGGTTATGGAATTCCATTTTGTTCTTTCCGGCATTTTCTGTTAACTATCTCAGCATCTGAAATGTGATAATTTATTAACCTTATTTTCCTTCTGGAACTAAAGATGGCGGCGAGTAGTGAATCCACGAGTAACTTAGCAGATTGTGACATTTTTCATATTGCATAATTATATGCAGAATTGTTTTAGCTCATAGCTCAGTCATCTCTTGACCAATTTGTGATCTAATTACAGTTTTGGACTCAGGTGGTCAAACCCTTTCGATAGATGTATCTGACCAGGCCCAAGGTTTCATAGATTAATTTACTCTAATCCTGCGTAAAAAGAATTTCAATTTGAGGGTAGGCTGGCAGAGATCCCGACGAGTAATAAAATTGAATCGGGTATACGCGCGCCCCACGCTTGGTATTGCTGACGCACAAAAATATAGCTAATAAAATGGTAAAAAAAATTTTATCATAGATTAATTTACTCTAATCCTGCCTAGAATAATTTCAAATGTCGCGGCTAATGAGGATTTCCTCTTGTTTATATTTGTGTTTATCAAACTAAATATATTTTTAATTGCTTACCATTTTAGGATTTTTCGAGAAACCAATCCCTGTCCATTTATCGCTGTTTGAACTTTGAATTACGAAGCGCATGTCATCAGTGTCCTCTTCAAGTTCCCACTTCACGTGGTACTGACAACTCTGCTCTCCACAGCCATGAGGATACTTCCATTCGCCACTAGAGGATGTAACAATCGCTGCGGAAATCTGGTTAGTTGCATCTGCAACGAACATAAATAGTTGACAGTTGTAAAATTAAAGTGGCAAGTGTAAGATCAATAACACATTCAGTTATATGATATTGGTTACTTTTTTGTGTAAGAAATTCGTGAAATCTCGACTGTTCATTGTTGCTGCGTCTATAATAAAGTCGAACAGCAAATCGGTTAATGCAAACTCCCCTGCTAAGGAATGAAACGACACACAAAGAAATGTCGGTTAACATGAAAATGAAAATGCACAAACGCAATTTTTAAAATTTACGAATATACAAAGTAAACCAAAATTTACATTCCTTTAAACTATTTAAAAAATAGAACGTTTCAGAAGTTCACAGATAAATAAGTTATTTAAGGTTTAAAAGATGTATTCATTTGTTGTCTCTACGTCTCGGTATACAGCTAAATTTATGTACATACCTCCGTTACGTAAGTTTGTTTGTTTTGTTTTTTGTGTAAGTTCTCGCAAAGCTTCACAAGGGCTATCTGCGCTAGCCATCCCTAATTTAGTTGTGAAAGACTAGAGCAGTGGTTCCTTACCTCACACCCCTCCCCTAAAAAGTGTGCATTAGACATTTCCTCTTGGCGACATTTGGGGGAAAACGGACCTTGTACAAGCTTCTTCCGCGCACCCCTTGGACCCTCATTTCGCACCCCAGGGGGTGCCAACACCCATGGTTGGGAACCCCTGGACTAGAGGAAGGCAGCTAGTCGTCACCTCCCACTACCAACTCTTGGTCTACTCTTTTACCAACGAATAGTGGGATTGACCATCACATTAGAACCATTTCGTTAAATTAAGTTTGTTGCTTATTTCTTTTAATTTTGCATTCTTGTCATTGTAGAAACTACAAATAATGACTTTAACTCTAGATTAGCAACTTGCAACTGGTGTTACAGGAGGATGTTGAAAATGGATACGCAAAACGTTTGTAAATAAATAAAAAAAATGT